TGAGTCACAGATTCAATAATAACGGCTAAATAACCAGAACTGCGTTATTTTACCACCAAAAGTATTAAGTGTTTTAGTGCGAGCTCTCTATGATCGTCACACACACACACACACACACACACACACACACACACACACACACACACACACACACACACACACACACACACACACACACACAAACACGCACTCACGTGTACGCGTGCACACACCCACCCAGCTACACGCGCACGCACTCACATCGATCGCCCCGCCCCGCGCGCACGCACCAGCACAACAGAGCGCACGCAACCATACATACAGACCATTAGATGAGAACAAGAAACAAAGGCATATAAACACGCAGCCGATCGGGCGATGGCACTAATACCACCACATATCCGCGTAGAAGAATTTCAGCGAGAGGCACTACCTAGCGCGCCGTCCCCCGTCACGCCTCGCTGTTGCATTATGCATATCACGGTGGTATTGATTGCGTCAGACAGGTATATAGTGAATGTTTAATTAGCCTGGCGACTGAATAATGCACGCGCGCATCCTGCATTATTTACACGGCCGGACGAAATTGTTATATTACACTCTAGTTAATTAATTCGCGGGAAAAAAGTCGGTTATTTAATCACCGTTGACTCCGGCGCGGGTTGATGGCGTATATAGCGGGCGTCTGCCACGCGACAGGTGGCGACACCATCGAGCAATGCGTCACCCCGCCCGCGCCCGCTCGCAATCTAAACAGCAGCACTGTGTGGAATTTCCCAGATGTTGATATGTCGCATGCTCGTGATTGCAAACATTTCTATTGGGGGTAATAGCAATGATATAGGAAATATAACAAATGGGATATAGGCGATATAGGAAACATACATCTATCTATCATCTATCTATGGATAATATATAAATAGCTAATTATATGCGAATATTATAAACATGGCAGGCAATTCAGTGCGGTATAGGTGTTCTTGTATGCTTGCAGGTCTTCACGATGCCGGAGTATCTCAGGAAGCGATTCGGAGGTCAGAGGATCAGAGTCTATCTGTCCGTACTAGCGCTGTTGCTCTACGTCTTTACGAAAATATCGGTGCGTACTCTCTCTCACCCACGCCCGGCGGCTGTTCCCGCAGCTGGGTTCACTCCCCCCACTCACCAGCATCCTAGAAGCCTCGTCCCAGGCCAGCGTTGGCGCGCGGCCTGCACCAATCCTGTTTGCAACTCGTAAACCGGAGAGAGAGAGAGAGAGAGAGAGAGAGAGAGAGTTATGTCGGTGTCTGATTTTTAAAGCAGTTTAGAATCGCGTTCGCGGCGTTGGATAGACGTGACCTCGCTTGCCATCCCGTCACTCACATACCCTTCGTATCTCGTCACGCTGTTGAGGTTTTAGATTGTGCAACCTGTCACACTTGCTTGATCATGTTATCGATATGAAATCCAATTGAGAAATATTATGCGCGTCCTTGAGACAATTATTTACTATATATCGTTTAATATATGGCTATATAACCGAATTTTCTTTGTCTCGTTTCCTCTCTGTCGCTGTCGCTGTCGCTGTCGCTGTCGCTGTCGCTGTCGCTGCCTCTGCATTTATGTCTCGGTCTCCGTCTCTCTCTCTATAACGGTCTCTCTTGCTCTCGTATTATCTCCTTCCCTCATGGCTATATCACTATATATATATATATATATATATATATATATATATATATATATATATATGTATATTGTATAGTATATATATAGTACATATATATATATATATGTATATATATATTTATATATATATATGCTGTCTCACCCTCCGCTCCTCTTTTTCTCCCACATTGCCACTCACTTCACATCACGTGGCACATCAACTCACATCGACGCTCACGTGCACCTCAGCATCACTCACTCACTCAGCGTCACGGTGCCTCACGTCACGTCACTCAACCAACCTGCTCCCTCTTGCTCTCTCTCTCTCTCTCTCTCTCTTTCTCCCTCTCTCTCTCTCACGCTCTATCGCTCTTTCGCTCTCACGCTCTCTCGCTCTCACGCTTTATCGCTCTCTTGCTTTTTCGCCCTCCCGCTCTCTCTCGCTCTCTCTATCTCTCTTAGCTCTCGCCGTTCTTTTTTCGGCGACGAATTACAATGCAGTTGTTGTGTGTGTTTTGCGTAGGCGGACCTGTACGCCGGCGCTATCTTCATAGAACAGTCGTTGCACTGGAACCTGTACGCTTCGACCGCCATCTTGTTGTTAATCGCCGCTCTGTTCACCATCACAGGTACGTGAGCTTATACCGCATGCTTGCATCACCTATTGTTCGATGCTTTCGGGGCGGCGGCGCAGTAAGCACGACAAGCTACTTTAGGGCGTTGCGGCTACGATTCCTGCTTCATTTAGTACGAGAAAAATGATGGAGATGATGATGATAGTGCGCAATTAGGCAGACGATCCATGTAGAGATATCAGCGACGGATCCGGGAAGGGGAGAAGGGGGGGAGGGAGGGTTAGAGTTAGAGTTATGAACTCCGGCTAAGAATTTATAGTAGAGAGCGAGTGCGACGAACGCGTGGAAGTCATTTATGAGCATTCCAAACGTCTGTTTTACTCACATCTTCTCTCCAATCTCCTGCGCGCTATACTGTATACTTGCCAGAGATTACTGTCTGAAGCGCTAGAATGCGCCCCGCTGCGCGTTCTACCAGCGGCTCCTCATACCTCACCTTCTTTGTTGGCGTCTGCCTCCTCCACCTCTCCCCCAAGGCACATCCATGTATCTACTAATGTTCGTATACTCGTGATGCATTGTGGGTTGATCGGGTCTACGTTCAATGATATAGTTCTATACGTTTATCAGTTTACGTTAAATAAGTGAAACGAAAAAAGCTCGCTACTCAGGATTGTGATATATTTGAGCTTCTCGCGGCGATATCACGAGTTGTGCGGGTAAAGCTGATTAATGTTGATCTAGGCCGACATTATGACGTCATTATGCGACCACACGCGCGCGGGTGTGTGGGTTTGCCAAGGAAGTCGATTTGCCAAATTATAATTAGCTCAAAACATTTTAAACGGCAAATTTTACATGCTTTTAAAATTTCTAGTCTAATTTCTATGAAAGTACTTCGCCGAGCGTATGACAGATCAATCGACGTCGGCGATTTTAATTACTCAACATTAATTGCACTAATTGATCATTAATTGAATATTTAATTATGACAACAACTTTGACTACACCGCCTGTTTTGTAATGGCTATGTATCAGCCGATCAGCGCTATGGCCGATTAGCGATAATGTAAATGTTATATCCCTAATATATATATATATTATATATGTAATATGTAATCTATATACATGGTATATTCGCTAGAGACGTAGGCTCAGCTTGCATTGTTTGGTGTGCGATGTTTCAGGTGGACTTACGGCTGTAATATGGACGGACACCCTGCAAACAATCATCATGATCGTCGGAGCCTTTGCGTTGATGATTCTAGGTAAGTTGATGGCTCCTCTTCCCCCTTCTCTCTCTCTCTCTCTCTCTCTCTTATATGTACTTTTTCTCGCTCTCTTTCTCTGTCATTCTTGCGTGCCCTCTCTCTCGTGCGCGCGCTCTCACTCCCTTACTTACGACATTCACGTAAGCGCGCCTACTTTGTTTCTTTGCTATTATTTAATATTTATGTTAATTAATGAATACGTTGGATAATTCCAAGAATCCGTTAAATAATACCTAGCATACTATAGTGATAATAGCGCAAGAAATTAATACTTACCGGGAATCATTACTAACTAGGCGTCAGTTTATTATTATGAAAAGAGGATATAGCAATTATAATTACTTCATCTACAAGTAAGAGTATTTTACATTTAGTCGGAAGTTGGTGCAAGCGCGTGGGAGCAAACTACTGTAAAATTTACAACTTAACGCGTAACCTATATATTGTAAGGGAGGAAGCAGGAACGGTGCTTGTCACCATAGAATTAAGATAAATGTGGTTCCGGTGTAAACACTATTTTGTGAGTTTTGGATATTTTGGGTTATTTTGAAAATCACTCGAAACCCGGAAGTACGCCGAGCAAACATGTTTAATTTAAACACGCAAATTCTATATATACGCTCTACTTGATATGATATTGGGAAGATTTTGACTTTTTTTAAATATTCGCGAAAGATACCGCATTCCATAGACGTCACAGTTTAATCACGTCACTCATGTTGATATTGATATTGATATTGATATTGATATTGGGGAGCCGTATGTTCGATAGACACTGCTGGGAAAATATGTGTCGTCATATCTCAAGCCGTCGACGCATGGCTCGTGTTAAGCTTAGCGCAGACCTGCGATTTTTAGTTGCTCGTCGCAGCAACCTGCAACCGCAAGCAAGCGATCGGTCGATGTGTCACCGCATTTGCGCACACATGCGATTTCGAAGCAATTCTAGGGCAATTTGGGAGCGATTGGGAGCGACGAGTCGCTCAAAATCAAAACATGTTTGAAGTAAATCGTTGCAAGCGACCAGAATCGCTACGGATTGCAGTTGCACGTTCCCGCAGACGTAGCGATTTCACAGCAATTTTTACAGCGATTCTAGAATCGCTGTCGAGTTGCATGAAAAAGTCGCAGGTCTGCGCTAGGCTTTAGGTCATTCATATTCACCGCCATAGTTACTGCTACGAATAGATACTCATCTCTATATCACGATTATTATAGATAAAAAAACAAACGTATGCGCCTATAACCTCTTCTTAATTTCATTCCTAAACTGTACCATTTGACGTATTATTAAATAAAGTCAAGTTATTTCGTGAAACATGTATAGAAATGTTTGTGTGGCTAATGACATCGATAGCGACAATGACACACACACATGGTGTACGTCGTAATAAGACACACACACATGGTGTACGTCGTAATAAGACACACACACATGGTGTACGTCGTAATAAGACACATACACATGGTGTACGTCGTAATATGACACACACACACATGGTGTACGTCGTAATATGAACTCACGCTGATATAGCAGCATCAATCGCCCACTAACACGCACGAAAGCTAACCGCATGCTAGGCGTCGTCAAATAACCCGCATGGCCGTACACAGCGCCCTCTGTATGCAGTATTCTCTGCATCCGCAGGATTTCGTGAGCTGGATGGCTATGACGCCGTCGTGTACGAGTATTCGATGGCCGTCTCTAGCAGGGCCGTGCGCTCTAACGCGACGGCCGACGGCTGCGGCTACCCCGACAGCAGCGCCATGCACCTGGTGCGGCCGATCAGCGACCCAGACCTGCCGTGGCTGGGCACTATCATAGGAGTGAACTTTTCCTCTATCTGGTTCTGGTGCTCTGACCAGGCAAGTGTCACTAACGATCGTCCCACACGCTGCGTCGTGTCTCTCTGTGCGTCTTGTTTCTTTCACCTGTTCTCTCTTCAATGTTCGATTTGCACCCGACGTCGATAACACCAGGCACAAGACAATAAGGGATATTATACAAATATATATAATATATATTATATATATTATATATACATCAAAGAGTACATAATAGAGATATCCTATCCTATCCTTCCTCTCCATCTCCTTATTATGTACTCTTGATATATACTATATATATTAATGAATTTTTATATGAAGATTAGTGGTCGCACCCGCGAAATGCCGAACAATGGCGGCAATAGTGCTAGAGTCGCCAGGTGGCGTGCATGTCGTCCGTGCGCATCGTCACGGCTAGATCTGTATTTATACGTGTAATTATTTATACGCTATTATTTGATACGTTTGTAAATGAGATTAGGACGGTCGTGTCTGTAATCTTTTAATACTATTATATACCTCTAATATTATACATAAGTATAATATATATTATAGTATTATATATAAATATATATCTAATAATACACTATAATATATATATATATATATGTATATACTCTATAAGTACTCTGTATGTACTGCATGTATGTGTAGTATACCCGTTGTTGAGACGTGGCGTGTTTCTGTTCTCGCGTGGCGCAGCCTTCGTCGAGGTCGGCGGCTACGAAAACGCCATCAGTCTTTACTTCAACTCTATCGCCAACTCGACCGTCTACAGTGGATCCACATGCGGCATGCCGCCGGCTAACTCCATGCACATGATCCGCTCGGCCACCGACGGCGATTACCCGTGGCCGGGCATGTTTTTCGGCCTGACGATCAGTTCTGTGTGGTATTGGTGCTCCGATCAGGTGTGTGTGCGCGCTCAGGCAGGTAGATACAGATACAGACTAACGCTTCGAACGCTTCGAGCGAGCTTCTTGCGCCTATCGAACAAGTACATAAATATATATGTTAGCTCATAAATATTGTACGGACGCAGCAGCAGCGGTCGTAAGGCAGGTATGACTGTGATGGCACGAATGCGTCTGTTTGTCTCTCGTCGGTCGTTGCCACGTTACGTGTACTTGCGTCTGAGTGTGTGTGTGTGTGTGTGTGTGTGCATACTGATTGTTTGCGTTCAACGTTGATGCTTACCGTGGCGTATCGTTGTCAATATATAATAATACAATACACCGACTGCGCAAGACACTCAAGCATACATCAAAACAAACACCGACACTATTCCGAGCCACATCGAGCGGTTCTGCATCGATTAAGCTAATCAGCTAATCATCGTAATCTATACAATACCTCATGTAATATTGAAAACGAGCTTGGTTACTAATAAGACGAATTACAGAGGCATTCGTTATGGGCTATATATATATATATATATATATATATATATAGCGATATAGTCAGACAATGTCATCCGAGCTATGATTGCTGCAGCGGTAACCAACGCCGCAGATGTTTAGAGTAATATAAATAAATAAATAAATAAATAAAAAATAAAATAAATGAAAAGATATTATATCTATATAGATATCAGGAGTAGATAACCGGAAACATAGATAATAGATTAAATATAATAATAATTCCCTATTATCTACTCCTGATAGATATGTAACGGCAACGGCTGTTGACGCTGCCAGCCGCTAAACGTGAATGTAAGTAACCTAGGCAACGCTTGTACTCGTCACAGGTGATAGTCCAGCGGGTTCTGGCGGCTAAGAATCTGTCGCACGCCAAGGCGGGCTGCATTTTCGCCGGCTACCTGAAGATCCTGCCTCTGTTCCTGCTCGTTTTCCCGGGCATGATTGCTAGAATCATATTTCCAGGTAAGACGGGGCTGTAGCTAGGGAGGGGCGTTTTGGGCAGCTAGTACTTAATAGTGAGGGTTATATGTGTGAACTAAATAATTTGTTAATTTCAGTTAAAGGCATCTAGCGAAGATGCGTTCATATATATATATATATATATATATATGAATGCATATAATTAATATATACAATGAATATACATAAGCATACGCATAGGCCTATACTATGAATGCATATATATCAGGAGCTTATAAATGAAATTATAAATTATAAATTCCATTTATAAGCTCGATATCCTGTATATATTATATACATTCATAGTGATTTTCCAGTTAAGGCGGGTGCATTGGAACATTGTGCAATTTCCGCTGTTTTTATATAATTATCATATTGATATAAATGACCGCTGATATATTAACGTATTCTCGCGCATGCGCAGACGATGTTGGATGCTCTGACCCGGACTACTGTGAAGAGTTGTGTGGTTCACGGTCCAGCTGTTCTAACATTGCCTATCCACGACTCGTTCTCCATCTGATGCCAAACGGTAGGCACCTCGCGGTTATAACACTTACACGCTATACAATAGCCTCGTGTGGGTTGTAAGTTAGCTATGCCCCTGTGCCCTGTGATAGTTAGCTATGCCCCTGTGCCCTGTGATAGTTAGCTATGCCCCTGTGTCCTGTGATAGTTAGCTATGCCCCTGTGCCCTGTGATAGTTAGCCATGCCCCTGTGCCCTGTGATAGTTAGCTATGCCACTGTGTCCTGTGATAGTTAGCTATGCCCCTGTGCCCCGTGATAGTTAGCTATGCCCCTGTGCCATGTGATAGTTAGCTATGCCCCTTGTGTCCTGTGATAGTTAGCCATGCTCATGTGTCCTGTGATAGTTAGCTATGCCCCTGTGTCCTGTGATAGTTAGCTATGCCCCTGTGCCCTGTGATAGTTAGCTATGCCCCTGTGATAATTAATTCTGGCGATATAAACTGCACAAATGATAATGCTAGCCATGTCGCAAAATGTTGAGAAGTGTAAAAGATATGCACGCATGTGTGATGATTATGATCATGAACGTCAGAACTTCTGCTATATGCCACAGGATATTAGAGCAAAAGGATAATAATTTCGTAAAAAAAAGCGATGATGTGTGTGTGTGTGACGTGGCTCCATCTATCGGCAGCGGCTCGCGGACTTATGATGGCAGTGATGATGTCAGCGTTGATGAGTTCACTGACATCAATCTTCAACAGCAGCAGCACCATCTTCACGGTCGACGTATGGACGCGCATGCGCAAAAACGCCTCTGAAATGGAGCAGTTGATTGTCGGCAGGTACACACCAGCGCCCCCTGTAGCTGTAGCAGAAATGTCCTAGTGCTTGAGACGTCAACCGAAGTTTTCCGCCACATGAGTGTATAATGTGTATCAATAATGCCGATAAGCTGTTCACCACCACTCAATTTTAATAGTCATGCTGTGCATAACCGCATCAAATTTCCTTGTAAAATCACACTAGATCTCTATTCGCACGTATCCAGTATCTCAAAAATGACATAACATCTTGATAAAATTACACGTTGAAAATTGTGAGCAAATACCCATCGCACTAACTTGACAGAAAAAATAAATCTCGGCGCCTGTCCTTACGAATCATAGGGTGCCCTAGCTGACAGACCAGCATTACAATTAAAATCGGCCAATAGGTGGCGACATGAGCGCTACAGGCCATATACAGCACTTGAGCATATTCATCAGTCACATTTGTAGTCACAAGGTGTCTAGCCGCACCAAATAACCTTGTAAAGTCGCGCAAGATCTCTATTCATGCATGCCCAGCATCTCCAAATTAACATAATATTTGTTGAAATTATACTTTTAAAATGGCAAACAAATACTTATAGCAGTAACTCGAAAGATGAAATCACTCTTGCTGCCACTCGTTACGAATCGTACAGTGCCCTATATAGCTAGCGTTCCAATAATAAAATTTAATTCAGCCAATATGTGCAGTACATGACATATGCAGCTGTATGCCCGATGTTTATCCATCAAATGAGATATAAGTTTATTGAAATAATGTTTGAAGTAATGTAATAAGGTACAATACGGTGCCTATTCCTTCCAGATATTTCTGTTTGCGAATATAATCAGGATAAATACTACGATGTCATGCTGATCGTGTGTATACGCGATATTAGTTTCACACACCAAAACATATTCCGATGCACACGCACGCACACGCACGCACACGCACGCACAGACACACGTGCACACTGTGCGGCCGCTCACTCACAACCACAACACACACACACACACACTACACCTCACACACACACACACCACACACACCACACGCACACGCACACACACACACACGCGCACACACACACAGACACATACACACACACACACACACACACACACAGACATACACACACACACACACCCACACACACACACAACACACACACACACATAACACACAACAGCAGCACGAACCACACACACACACACACACACACAACACACACACACACACACACATACATACATATATATATATAATCTATATATATATATATACATATATATATATATAATATATATAATTATATATTATAACATATATATATATTAGGTACACACGTGCGCACACACAGGTGCACGCGGTCATGCACGCACGCACGTACACACTCACGCGCACACGCGCACACGCACGCACGTACACACTCACGCGCACACGTACGCACACGCACGCACGTACGCACTCACACGCACACGTACACACTCACGCGCACACGCGGGCACGCACGCACGTATACACTCACACGCACACGCACGCACGTACAAACTCACGCGCACATGCGCACACGCACTAACACGGAGATCACATTTTTGCAGGTTGTTTGTCATCGTTCTCGTCGTCGTCGGAATCTTATGGATTCCGGTCATCCAGGCATCAAAGGGAAGTCAGCTGTTTGTCTACATACAGAGCATCACCAGCTACCTAGCACCGCCCGTATGCGCCGTCTATGTGCTCGCTATATTCTGGAAGAGAACCAACGAACCGGTGAGGATACATTGATTATACATTATACATAGATGTCGCCACATGCGTCAAATAACTGCGCACACTCTTGTTACTTAAACATACCTCAAACATTTTCGTGCTCCACACGATATATATAGTCAATGTCCCCATCTGTTATCAAATGCGGATGATGGCTAGAGCTTATAATATGTCAAAACAGACGACCAATCAATCCTCAGGCTTCGCGTCAACTCTCACGTTTGCGTGTTTCTCCGGTAGGGGGCCTTCTGGGGACTAATGGCAGGCCTCGTGGTTGGGCTTATCCGCTTCGCGTGGGAATTCTCCTACACGTCCCCTGACTGTGGCGCGCCCGACCTACGACCGGCGATCATCACCAAGATGCACTATCTACACTTCGGTAGGCACTCGCACTGCGCGCATGCGCGGTGGTAACATCGTAAGCGTAACCAAGTTACACCGTTACGCAGACGCGTTAGCTGAAACAGCGCTGCTATCACGGTCCATATTATTACCATCCAGAGGGTATTAGATAGCCATATATACCAAGAGTCCAATAGAAAATGTTCTATCATGGACTCTTGATATATACTAATAGAAAAGGCATCGTTATCATGTTACGTGTTTATATAGAATTTATACCTATCTTTTAAATGTTTAAAATAGATTAAATCGTAGATATCATCAATCTGTATATTTTACAGACAGCATCATCTTTTACAGGAATCTTGCTATTCGGTATCTCAGTGATAGTGACTGTCATCGTGAGTCTACTTACGAAGCCAATACCAGAAGAACACGTACGTCAATCATCTTATCAGTTAACGTATCAGCGTCAGTTCAATTTACCGTAGCCACACTATTTGCTAATCTAAGCTAAGTTAACGTATAGACAGCCGCATTTATACGAAGAAAGACAACCCATAGAATGCGTGCATACGAAGCGAAACGCTAGACCTTAGACGTTAGACGCTAGACCGTCTTAGCATCTTAACACTCTTGTTGTTCGCAATCACTATTTAGAGCCGGGTTTCACTCACTTAACTTCCACTTCTTGTTTATGGAAAATCCGAGTTATTTTTTCCTCGTGTAGATGCGACACTTGCGTCGCGTAATGCCACGTGTGTAAATATAGCGTCCTCTTCTGTCACCGATGTAGAATTGACACAATTACGCGGAATGTCGAAATAATTACATAATTCTTGTTAATCAGTTGTATCGGCTGACGTTCTGGAGTCGCAAGAGCGAGAAGGAAAGGATCGACATCTCAGAGGCGGAGGACGCTAACGAGCTGGAGTTAAAGGACACCTATAACTCGACAGATCGAACCAATGGAAGCCATACGCCCGTCGTGCGTCAGCCATCTTGTAAGTACTGTTATTACATTTATTTTATATCACTTCTCAATTACTCAAATCTCGCCCCTGCCACCGTGTATCCACTCTATCTCATTTCTCTCTCTCTTTCATTCTCTCTCGCGCGTTCTCTCTCTTATTCTCGCACTGTCATTCTCTCTCATTGTCTTTTTCTCTTTTCTGTCTCACAAGCACACACACACACACACGCACACGCACACGCCCGCACGCACGCCAGAAACACACACACACGCACCCTCACATCTCTCTACCGCTCTCTCTCTCTCTCTCTCTCTCTCTCTCTCTCTTGCGCGCGCGCGGTCTCTGCCATGTTTATCTCTGTGGCTCTACCCGCTTATCATACCATCTCTGCGCTCGCTTCCCTTCTCACTGTTTTCAACTTCTTTCCGATACCATGAAATCTCCGCATACTCTCCTCCTCCCAACCAAAAACGATTGTTCATTGCTAACCTAACTGCTCAATGGAATAGACTGGCGCTACCGTCGATCCCACGTGTGCTAGTGATAGAGAACTCGTTACGTAAACACGGTCCAGGCCTTTGCTTAACAGCGACTCCCCCTCCAACTCTCAGACTGTAACCTTCTAATTGATCTTCTTAGCACACACACACAAAAAACATGATCACATTGTGACGAAAACTCCGAATTCGGCACACGCGTGCGTGCTTTGAGAGGTGAGGGGTCCACACCCGGAAACGAAGCTCGGCGCTTTAACGGGCTGCTCGCTGTTTGCAGATAAGCGGCTGCCGTGGTGGAAGAAGCTCATCAACTTCGTCTGCGGCATTAAGACGGACGAGGAGCGAGCGCTGGAGCCCGTGCTCACGCAGGCGCAGATAGCCGAGCAGGAGAAGCAGGGCAACAGCATCTACGAGGAGCGCAAAGCTCGTCTAGCCAACAACATCAACGCCGTCATACTGATGGCCGCCGCGGTCTTCCTCTGGGGCTTCTACGCCTAACCGCTCTACTATCAGATGCTTCCCCTCAATGACGACCTTACCCCTTTCTTTGCGTATATGGCTATATATGTGGGTGTGACCAGTAGAACGGCTTTTATTTACCTATGTGTGATGTATAAGGGGGTAAGGTCGCCCCCACAGGGGGCAGCATAAGATGGTCACGCTACACCGTCCCGGAGTTTTGCTTCTATCGTGAGTTGTTTTGCGATGATTGTTCGACATTATATCGTAACGTTTTGACTTCCATGCGAGACACGAATCTCGGTCGAAAGCGGTTGCTCTGCGCATGCGTGTGGCCGAAATCTGCATTCAGTGTCACAGCTGCCGCAGATTCTTTTTTCAGGCAGGAAATGTTTTATTTAGATGATATATATATATATATGTGTGTGTGTGTGCGTGCGTTTGCTTTTTAATTATGTGCAAATGCGGCTCAAATTGCCTAGGTTCAACTTTTAGAGCCGTACTTTACAAGGCTCTGATGAGTAGACTTAAGTGCAAAATTATTAAAATAATATATTTTTTATATATTACCTTCGATGAAATTCTAGTATAATTAGCAAAAGCTCACTATTCTAAATATAATAATTGCACTAATGCACTGTTGCCAATGATTGTTGCAAAATAGAAGAGAAAGATAATAAATTTATATTCTATATTAGCACAGTCTCAATTTCAGTATTTTTAAAGTACGTATGAAAACGGCATATCAATTCATAGATCTACCCTATTTTGATGGTGTGCTCGTTTTGTGATAATATAATGGCATTAGTATATTATATTCTTGTTATAACAGTATACATGCCCAAGAGCGTATCGTTATTGTGATTGTCATACCGTATCGCCACCATTTATTCGTTTACTGTTCATGGAACTATTTACCGAGCATGGCCGCCTGAATTGTATGCAAATCCTTGAACGTGTTTTTAATTTTAAATGTATTTGGCATCCATAACAAACACCGAGCGATGCGGTGGTCACACTGTTGATTTTGGCATTCGGCGTTATGGCGCTCATGAGAAAATAAATGTTTGATGTGTCCATAGATATACACAACGCATGTGTTGTGTATATCTATGATGTGTCTCGGTCGCTCACTCTCGTTCCCGCTCACTAGCCAGTCACGGCTGCTTTCGGGTTATCACGTTATCGTACCTTTATAACGATGTTGTTTATGTAGTGGTAGCGTCTCTAAGAAACCTTTCTCGCGTAGCGGTTGTGTAATCAACACGCCGTCAACGGGAAGAAAAGGCGGAATTTTGATCATCGTTTGTCAGTATTATCGTGTAAACTAATTCGTTGTGAAGCTTTAACGGTCACCGCGTGACGTCACAATGCTGCCTGTGACGTGTGCGCCAGGAAATAGAATAAACGACAATGTACTTGTACACAAAGAAAACGAGTTTGATTGCGTTCCTATTTTAATACAGTTTCTTCGTTTATAAGTAGTTATAATCACGCTGTGAATTTATATACGAGCGTTTGATAATAAGCTCAGAGTGATGAAATCGAATTAAGCTAGCGGTGTGAAATTATTGCAATGCTTGCATGTATATGTTATGATTACAAGATTACAGATCTGACAACATCTATTCATTTACATATCCAGTAAAGTAATGATTATCTTGCACAACCCAAACGCACCTGTGTCTCACAGGATATTATGATTATTATACTATTGCCACAGACAAGTGCGCATACCCACTCGCACCTACACGCACATACGCCACACGCCACGCGACGCACGCACACACACGACCGCGCACACACACAGCGCCACACACGCCACACACACCACACCACACACACCACACACACACACACAAACACAAACACACACAAACACGGTCACACGGGCACACGAGCGCGCCACACACATACGCAACACACACACACACACACACACACACACCACACACACACGGCACACACACACGCGCACACACACACGCACACACTCACACACACACACACACACACACACAACACACACCACACGCACACACACATACACACACACACACACACAAACACACCACACACACACACACAACACACCGGTCTCACACGGGCACCCACGCGCGCGCACGCACGCACACACACACACACAAACACACACACACACGCACACACACACACACACCACGCACACACACACGCACACACTCACACAAACACACACACACACACACACAAACACACACACGCACACAGTCACACAGTCACACGGACACACGCGCGCGCACACACAAGCACGAGCGCACACACATACGCACACAGAGCGCACGCACACACACACACACACGCGCGCGCACACACACACACACACATCACACACACACACACACACACACACACACACATGTACACACATACATTTGCGTGTTGCAGGGACCTTAATTGTGACTGCATTTCAGATATATTATATGCTCTATTTGCTGTGGGAATCTGCAATACATGATTTCAGCATAATTATAATTAAAACATGGTGGATAAGCAGATATCAGGTGTCAGGCTTGATGAAGAATTCTGTACAGCGTGCTTACTCATGCAGGCGTTTCCCTTGTTCATTTTGTATTAAATCGTAATTTTATCAAATCCCACATTTTTTAATGAATTTTAAAATAATTATTAGTATTTAGAGCATTTTTTCTCGGCCATGAACCGCGTACGCGTTATGATTTTTCTATATGCATCAAGGTTTTGTATTGATATATGCCGAGCCGTATAAACTGACGCTTCTCAATGATGTATGGTTAGTGCGCGTGCGCTGTCCCACCGTCTTTCCTTCCGGTCATTGGTCAGCGAATCGATGAGAGAGAGCCCGGTCTGGTCACTCACGACCCGCCTCAGCTGGTGGCGCCCTCTGACAGCTACCGGAAGACGGACGCGAGCGAGTGCCTCGGCCGCCATCCGGAATCGACTTCCGGCGGATGTGATGACGGCGCTGGTCTGCGAGCCGACGACGTTGACCGACACCAGCGACGATCTCGCCGACGTGACGGACACGGCGCTGCCGACGTTAGCTACTGCTGCCGACGTGTCACCGAGCATGCTGACGGTCGGTCGTCCGACGACGCTGCGCAGGAGCGACGGCGTCGGCTGCGCGACACCGCGCGACGGCCTCTCTCGTCGGCTCCTCCTCGCCGGCTGGCCGCCAGGGGGCGCCTGGTCTCGCGTCGCGTCGCGTCGGCTGGCGACGAGTCGCGTTGCGTCGGCGACCGCCTCGTCGCCCGGCAGGTCGCGGCTACCCTCGACCCGTATGACGTCACCGTGAACCAACTGCGGCAGGCGCACGCGTCCGTACTTTGCGATGTGGACCCGGATCAGCTCCCGATAGAACATCGCCGCCACGGTCTCGTTGAAGCTCTTATTCAGCATCGACGGCACGTCGCGATTCGGATCCGGTCCGAAGTCGTCGGCCGTCGCGTCGGCGCTCGCGTCGCTCGGCGTCTTTCCCCTGATGGCGGCCCAGCGCTTGCGGAAGAAGCCGTTCCTCTTCTTCTCGAGCCTCTCCACCCGGTAGACCCGGTTTCGTTCGCGCAGACCGGGGCCCGGAGTGAAGCACATAGAAATTGGTGTCGGCAGCTCCTTGCAATTCCATATCGTGACGATATGCGTCATTTCGGACTCTGGGTCGGGGCGCTTGCTAATGTTCGTTCCCATTCTTCTGTCTCTAAGCTACGCAGGAATTCACAGTCTTCTATAGCATCGAGCGACACGCTATCTCCACCACGACCTCACCACGCGTGCGACCCTCACGACAGCGCTCCCAGTCCGGTACAACCTCTGACGTAGCTACGTTGCAGGTACGGCCTTGAGAACCGATCCGAGGACGCGTGTTCGTCCCTTTCTCCTTCGTGGTTACGTATGAGAACGGCGAGTGGAGAGTTAGAGAGCGCGTTCTGCGTGCTTTCGAATAGCGCACAATAAGGACGTGCCAACGGTGAGTTGTATCTTGTAGTCCATGGCAACGGTCGCTATCGCGGTGACGTCGATAGACAATGAATGCAACTTACCTCTCGCTAGAATTTTGCCACGCTGTCATTTTAGGAACGGACATCGCATCCTGTAATTTTAAATGTCGTGTATTTTAATTGTAGTTATAACCTCTAACTTCATGACCTATTATATTCTTCGTGGGCAGAAATATTCCCCATGGTCTAAAAGAGTGTGTTGAAGAAGAAGAAGAAGAGAGACAATTGTCTGTGTTAATGGCAATATGTATATTTTTATAGATGTATGTATATACTTTTTTTTAATCAATCCTGAGTGTTGATTTAACCATTTTATTAATTTTGTTTTGACATTGTGTAATATTTCTGACCATGAAGAATATAAGGTTATAACGCAATACACACAACATTAAAAATTGCAAGATCAGAGGCAAGTTGTTTCATAAAGATACATTCATTGTCTATCGACGTCACCTCAATAACGACCGTTGCCATGGACAACAACATACAACTCGCAATTGCCACGTCATTATTACGTAATTATTGCGCGCTCTTCGAACGCACGCAGAAAGTGCTCAGTATGGAACTGCAAGGAGCTGACGACTCTAATGCCGATCGGTTTCGTTCCGGGTCCGGGTCTGCGCGAACGAAACCGGATCTACCGGCTGAAGAAGCTCGAGAACAAGAGGAAGAATGGCTTCTTCCGGAAGCGCTGGGCCGCCATTGAATTTGAATGATTAAATTTTGTCTTTCTTCGTCTTCGATATACTCTCTTGGACTTTGAAGACTGATTATTATAAGGTTGTGTCAGATGTGGCTGCTATCACATCGGTGGTACCCCAAGGTTCGGTTCTTCGTACCATTGTTCTCGTTTTATAAATGATTTGTTAGCCAAAACCAAATCTTATATTTCTATTCGCCTGTTTGTTGATGACGCAGTTCCATACCGCACTACCTCCAATACGGTTGGTCAGTTAGCCCTCCAGAGTATCCTTACTCGTGCATAACGCAAGTGAAGCGGTCGTTCATGAAGTAATGTAACAACTTGGGGGTGCGTGTATAAATACCGAAAAGTGTAAAAATTCTTCGCATAATTACCCGTTCTAAATAAATCACCATTGACTTTTACTTACTCGATGGAATGCGCACATTGATTGTATTTATAGGAAAGCGTCTCGTTTTTGTATGTTACGCCACAAACATAGCTTTTCAGATTCTAAAACTCGGCCCCTATCGTTTAAAGCTATGATTCTTCCCATATTAGAATGATTCATGCCACAATGGGTTGGTGCCCCTACACGCCTCCGAACTGTTCTAAATCAGATGGCATTAAGAATAAGGGTGCGATATGGGTATCAAAAAACCATCATGATAGTTCCGAGGTCGTTTTGACTTTTTGATTCTCGAGGTTGTTTGAACTTAATCGGCCTCTTCTTCGTATTCGCTTACTTCATGCAAAACCTATAACCTTTCATAGGATTTATCATGATCAGGTGAAGATTGATATCTACCTCTTGTTTAACGAAAGCTATTCGTTGCATTCGATCATCCGAGCCTGATCATTGCTATCGACATGTATCGTCTTAAAACGATCACGTTGGATTAGCTTTTTGGTTAATTATAAAATTGAAGCGTTTTCTACTGCGATCCGCAGTGTTGATCTGTCTATTTGATCAACTTTATCTCTCTCCGTCTTCGATATAGTTCCTTAGACTTTGAAGACTAATAACTATGAGGTCATGAGGGGCCCAATGTTGATCAAACGGACAGATATTACACTAAACTGTGGATTGCAGTAGAAAAGGCTACCGTTTCACTATTGATGTTGTTCTTCATTATTAATTTTAAATTTATAACATTCTCTCTTTCGTTAGTCTCTAGGACATTGGGGTTGTTCGTTGTGAGGTCATGAGGTTATTTATCTTCTCGGGATGGCTGTAGATATACGATATCTTAATTACTTTCGTGTTAGTTGAATGATGCGTAGTATAGGACTTATCACGTAGTGCACGTTAATATTCGTACCACATTAAAATTGACACAGTTCAATGTTTTTGATTATTGAATGTATACGACCGTGATTTAATAGCGTTCGATTTATTTCCGAAACATTAAATTAATTCTAATTTCCACACTCACGCCACTATTTAAACATGATCCAAAAAAGCTATATACCCGGTGAGAGTATTAACTCGCTTCCGCCATCCCAGAAGGCATAATTACTTGAATTTTTTCTCAGGCCGAGAAAGCAGTTTTCTTCCGCTCATTCATTCTAAATTGCACGTTATACTTTCTGCCAGTCGGTACCTTTATTATATCACCTATACCGACGGCCGAAGTAGGAAAACATGACACATTATTTGATACGTTTCGATACGGCAATAATACACAGTTAACGCAGTTCCACGGAATGTACAGTGAATTAACATGCGATAGATGGGGGAAACTGGGGATTAATTGGCATGCATGCACGCGTGCAACGGTATAACTTCATCTCCGTCATCTAGCAAAGATCACTATCGATTACCCTATATCGATTACCCGATATTGAGATTACTTCTCGGTCATTGATCGATCCAACAAGCACCACCGATCGTGTGTTGCAGCTTTTGGCTTCAGCGTCGTAGAAGGAATTTCTTTCCGAGCACCAAATATTCACATCGCCACGTCCCGCCAGCTCTATTCTGTTCATGAATCACGGCAGCGGTGTACGGCACGAGTAGTTAAACCCACCAGACGTACGCACCGAGCACGCACGCACACACCTATACACGCACGCACGCGCACACGCACGCACGCACATGCTATACATGAAAACATACAGGCAAGATTACGCATGCGACGCGTAGTGTTATGTTAAGCTTTATGACATCAGCATCATCAAACTCGGACAGCCTGTCACTCGGGACGCATTGGAAGACTCATGTAGAGCGAGTTAGTTCTTTGAAGCAACATGCAGTTGTGGGGCGAGAGCATGAACACCCTCTCTCTCACTCTAACGTTCTCTCTTTCCCCCCCTCTCTCTCTCTCTCACTCTCTCTCTC